CTGCCGCGGGGGCTGCCCGGGGGTGCCCCACCCCCACTTTGGGGGCTGGCCTGGGTGTCAGGAGGCCCCTTCGGGGAAGATGTCGGTTCCCTGCCGGGGGCGTCCTGCTGCCAGGGCCGGAGGCCTGGGGGGGGGTGAGTCCGACTCACAAGCGCCCTCGCGCGGACACCCTGGGCCTGTCCCTGCCCACTGCAGTGGGGAGGCTGGGGCCTTGCACTGGGGTGAAGGTCCCAGCTCCCTGGGGTGGGGGCAGTGGGCCGGGAGGGGCTGCAGCCCTGGGACGGCGCGTGTCTTCAGTCCATAGGAGCCAGGCGAGAGTGAAGGGGTTAGCAGGGGAGTGCGGCGACGCATGGCCCCAGCCCGGGGCAAGCGCTGTTCTTGAGCAGGGGGCTGACTTGCAACGAGGCCAGCACCTCCCAACCCCCCCGACTGGGCGCTGCAGGGGCCCAGCTCTTTAGCCACCCGGGGGGGGGGCATTAGGGCCCCCCCTTTGCGCTGCAGCCCAGCTCCACGCCCACGGCGCTTCCTTTGGCCACAGGCCGGCTCTGGCTGCCTGCTCAGCCCCAGGGGACAAGCCCTGACCCGCTGCCATCCCCTGAGCTGCCGGAAGGGGGAGCCCTCAGCTCAGGTACTGAGGCCGGGGCTGCATTTCGCCCTGGCTGCTCTCCTGAGGGCGGGGGGGCCTCCTTTATTGCCCTGCAGGCTCCTGGCAACATGCAGCTGCAGCCAGGGCAGGAGGCGGGTGGCAGGGCTCTCTGAGTGGGAGGGGGGCAGGAGAGGCTGTGTCAGAGCCCCACGTCCGGAGAGGGTCACTAACCTCTGGGAAGCGCCTGTCTGCCCCCCGGCTGCGTGGGCACGGAGCCGTCCTGGGAGGCCTCCCTCCCGGCTGGCCCCAGGGCAAAGCAGAGGCCAGGGCAGAGGGACGGGGGGGTCCCTCTGTCTCTGGAGTGACACCCCGGGGTTCCCTCGGACACCCTGCAGCTCCCACCCGCGTGCCAGGCCCCGGCTGCGTATGGGC